GGGGGGGGGGGTACAGAGGGGGATACAAAGGGAAACGGTTGAACATATACTTGGGTTTTTGTGGGGGACGCCAGTGGGGAGTTACGGTACTTTCCCGGCATGAACTGCAGCCGTTTCATGTATTGGACGTCTACCTGCCAAAATTTAAACCTTGTGCATGCACCCAAAAAATGTGTACCACATACAATCACTGAAAGACTACCCGTTCGTGACAAAACGTATCGACCCTTCCAAGCAGCAGCAGAAGGGTTCAACAGATATATTACGAAGGATGTGAAACGAGTCTTCCAGCCTGTATTCACCTGTGATCGCCGACGTGTACCACTTCCCGCAAGCGGCGTAAACAACCCGCTGCCCGTCCAAGGCAGACATCCACTCCGGCTCCAGTGATCGCTGCGGTGTTGCCATCGTGTGTTCGGGGCAACCGGCGGGGACAGGGCGACTGAACAACACGACATTCACCAATTCGTCAACACCATTCCATGGTCGGATTTCAATCTCTTCCACGTTGAAGAATCCGCGAGCGTTCTGGATAAAATTTCTCTCGTGTGTTGAGAGCGCTCCATTTCGGCTCTCTCGGCCTCTCACAGAGCTACATTCCGACGTTCCGGGATCTCCGGGCTCTTTCGGGCGCTTCCTCATTCTTCATGGGTGGGTGTGTTCTTACTCTGCGTCTACCTCGCTCGCTCTCGGAACTTTTGGCCTCTTTCCTCTGCTCCCCGTCCACCATGCATCAAAATTCATGCCAGTCTCTCTTTCGGCTCTCACACACCAATCTGCTGTCACTCCGCTCTCACACGTCGGGCTCGCATTTTTACGGGTACTGTGCTCTCTGCTCAGTACATTAAAAAAGTTTGCTCTTCTGTGTTGCCGCGGTTCAGTTCCTGTGTTTCAAAAACACCGATAAATCTGCATTTTTCATGTCTTCTGGCTACATAGCTCGCTCGCGGAACCTTTCGCCCCTTTCCTGTGCTCCCCATCGATCCACATCATCACCACTCATCCACACAGCCTGTCTCTCGGCTCTCACACCCCTGTCTCTCTGTCGGCTTCCACATGTCGAACACACCTTTCTCAACTTCAAAATTTCCGGGCAACTATTTCAACTCCGCACAATACTAGACGTCTTCGCAGTCCGCATGTTGTACAGTTGAACTCCGCACAGACCGCGAAGTGCCGCGATGATACAGCTTGCTGCTAAATGCACCAGTCTATTACTCAGTTGTTACACGATGAACGACGAGTAGACGCGGGGCACACGTCTGGCGGTGATATTATTTTCATGTTGATAGTGTGTCGGTGACACGAATGAGTACCTCTTCTCTTTCTGCACTAAGCCGCCTTCTATTTCTTTTCACACAAAAATTCGAGTATCTTGGAATCAATCTACTGAGCGGAGCGGCGAAAGCCGCCAGATCTCTTGTACTATAATAGGACTGATCGCAGAAAAGTCCGGCGGTTCCACGCCTAGTTAGCACCGAAACTACACCTTGACCACCATCACCACGAACACCGCGATGAGCGTGCCCTTCACCCCCTCCCCCCAAGTCTAACCTTCATGCCCCACATGTACAGCTTCCCGCTTTCCGTAACGGCGGATGCGTGGTTGTAGCCCGCTCCTATTGACACCACCTGTGACACAACGTACATACCACCGGAGAACGTTCACCGGACGTAGGGCGGGGGGGGGCGGGGGGGGGCGGGGGCAGGCAGGCGTCGGAACGGCTTCCTCACACGCGACAAAGAAACCTCACCAACGAGTAGCTATCCCTATCCTACTCCTCCAACTTCCTGACACGCCAACAACAGGTGGCTAGCCCTTTCCAGGAGGCCAACCCACCGACCACTCAAGCAGCAGTGCCACAGAGACAAAAGCGTATAGCGGCACTTCCTTCCAGTCGCACTAAGCCCGTGTGCCAACAACCGCCAGCTCGGCGTACCCACAGACCAACCGCCTTGCAGCCCCGGCAACATACCCGACGCTGTTCTATGCGCTCGAAAACCGAACCACAGCGAGCACAACCAAAGCTATCAACGGAGCGCTGCCGTGTTTTTATAAAATACACATCAAAGAGAAACAACGAAAAAAACAAAGAAAAGAGTACTACACGTTCAAAAAAAAAAGTCGAAAGGGGATCTGAAAGTCTAGTTTTTTGCCGCACCTTCTCGTCGACGAGAGCGTCGATGGTTCGGGGCAGCACCTCCGCGGCGTAGACGTCCATCGTAAGTCCCCCCCCGAGGCCCAGCTGCCCCTGGTCGTTCCTGCCCCACCCCAGAACCTCGCCCTCGCTCGTCAGCGCCAAGGTGAACGCGTGCCCCGCCTGCAGCAGGAAAAAAACAACGAAAAAATGAAAAATGAAAAACTTTAAGCAACACAGCAACAGTGGCCGCCGCGTGCAGAACCAGCTCGCTCAAGAACAACCATGGGCATGTAAAAAGACCGGGCTGTGTTCATGCGGTTCCCATGAAGCACGGCAAAAAAACGGCGGAGACAAGGCATGTATAGTCAGAGTGCCATAAAACAGCGGTAAGGGCTGATACCTCGAACGGGTATTGTACGATAGTCTCTCTTTGATGCTAATACTAGGTATATGTCCTACAAGTCAACTTTTCACCACACAGTTCGTTTTCACTCCTCCGCCATATCGTCTTTAGCCCCCTGCTTCGCCCCCCCGCCCCCCAGTAACTACGCGGTCAATCAATGGGCCCAACACATGCAGCCAGCATGCTTCCCACATCCCCCCGCTCCCACTGCCTCCCGTCCCCCGCCAAGAACAGATTGTACACCAGACCCCCCCTCTGTCACAAACCTGCACGTCGACGATGATGTGCTCCTCGAAGGCTTCTAGCGGCGCCGGGGTCAGCTGGTCCTCCGTGCCGCCGTTGCCGCAGAGCCCGTACTCCCCTCGGCCGCACGTCCACACCTCCCCGTCCGTGGTGAGGAAGGCCGTGTGGCTTCCCCCCGCGCTTACCTTGGCCACCTGGGAGAGGCGAAGACGGTGGGGCGGAGGGGGTGTACCCATAGTCGTGCATGCCGTAGTCGTTGGACCATTGACCTCGCATCCCTACAAAGCCGGGACGGAGCACGCCGGGTTCTCACCGGACCAGGCTCTCACATCACCAAGCGCGAAGCGCCGTGAGATGTTCGGCGAGTCGCATGAAGGGTGCGCTGCATCCTGCTAAGGGTGTTCGGCATCTTGTGCTTACTTCCTTGCGTACGGATGACAGCTGCGTGTGACTTAAATTTACTTTCTGGTGTTTTCACTTCCAGTGACAGTTCAAGCACTGTGTAACTGCCTCGAGGGTGCTTGACCATTTTAACACAACGTGGTGCGATCATCCCCCTTGCGCGGAGTGAGGGTTCTCCACCCCGCACAACATGATCTACTCGACCACCATTATGGTTACCGCCAAAAACAAGAGGAAAAAAAAAAGTTGGTAACCTGGTTGCCGAGTTCACGAAGTGAATTGGCTGGTTATGCAACGTCGTTGCCAAGCGACGAAAACCAATCCCGATGGCAAACACTGAGGGGGGGGGGGAGGCGGCGAAACATGTCGGAGAAAGGGTGGTGCAGCAAGAGAAGGAGAAAGAGCGAGAGGGAGAGAGAGAGAGAAACAGACGGAGACTAGCAGACAGGGGGGATTGGTTGCATGTTTTTCCCTCTTGGCGCGAGCAAGCTCGCTTCTGCACAGCAAATAATTCATCATGAACTCAACAACATGGCGAACGATGGACATGGGGGACCTATTTTGTCTTTGTCCCACGCGTGGTAGCTTCCGCCAGAGACGAAACACCCCCGCGGAAGGTTTTCATACATAGTAAGGAAGGGCCTCGACGTGCGGACAAATTTACTGCTACTCACCCCGGCCACATCTTATGAGTCACCCTTTGCAAATTAGGAAAGAACCATTGGCCATCGGTGATCGGCCCGGCGGAAACAATTGTTCATCCTCTCGAGGACGCGTTGTCAACGGTCCAACAGACCATGAGTGCGCTCCTCCCCCCTCCCCCGCGCGGCGCGATCACCTTTGCGCCGACGCCGCTGAGCGTTGTGATCTCGGTAGGATTGGAGACGAGGAAATTTTCGTTTTCCAGGTTACCCAGCCCGAGCGCTCCTGCCCCGTCCCACCGCGAGCCTCCCGATCCCCAGCTGTAAGCAACGCCCTCGCTGTCTACCGCTACGGAGTGCTGCTCCCTGTGGGCGTAGCAAAGGAGGCGTTCTTGGTTATCGCTACCTGTAGATACCATCTATCGTTGTCGTTGAGTTTGGTATTGCTGTTTGGCTTTCTGGTTCGCATGTCTCGGTGAAGGGGGGGGGGG